CAGCCAAGTGCTTTTGGTGCCTCTGAAAATCAGCTCCACTCTGGCTTATTGCCTTTGCGTTCGTGTTGCTCCCGTGGCCGTGGGGAAACCCGTAAGTTCCCTCACAAGTGCTCACACGGGAAATGGCAATGCAGGGACACGCCATAAATGAGCAACAACCGAGCTTTAACATAGGAGCATCAAAGATGAGTGACAAATAAACACAGACCAAACCCAAACTCACTGTGGAGTCTGGCCTGGCCTGAAAATTGTCAGTGCCTGGCTCCTTATGCCAAGAGAGTGTCACAGGGTTGCCCCATAGTTTACGTGCTCTCTTCGGCTTCGCCCCGGGCGAGAGCCTGTATTTCACATTTTATTATCTTTATCCCCAAGTTCAGGTTCTCTTGACTTGTCTCAAGGTGCTCGTTTGCAATTGTGAGATGAATCTCCAGCAGCAGGTCCGAGATTGTTATCCCTGGTCCACCCTGGTCAGCGAGGCCCCAGTAACGGCTGTGGAACCTCACTGGCCTTACAAGTGTCTCCAGTTAAAGCCTGCGTTCAGGTAGGAGAGCCTTCGTGCTCTTGAACGCAGAGAGTAACCTTGCTGGGAAGGGGAAAAGCATCAAGCAGCTGTTTGGCAATGTGTGTTTGAAACCTGGTGTTATTTATAAACGAGGGTTTAACTTTTTAAAATGTTTTTTATTACTATTATGTCTCTCAGCAGTAAAACAGCATCACAGTTCTTGCAGATGTACCTGCTCTTTGCACTTGGGTTTACCTCTGACTGCTTTAATGAAAACTTGCTTGTATTTGCTATTCTGAGGTGTCATTTGTCTCACCAAAACAACCAAACTCTGAGACATGGACTTGATTCTTTTCTGGCTTGTGCTTGTAGTAAAAACCTGGTTAATCAGTGGCCTGTGTAGGGACTGGCTTCAGACGATGGTGTGGCTTACACCGGTGCGATCGATCGTATCAGAACTGCTTTCGGGCAACTCTGAGTAGCATTTGAGGTCTAGGAGGTGTGACTGGAAGCAACATTTGGACTATGAAACACTATATGGGTAGGGAAGAATATGGGTTCATCATCAAATCCTAAACAGATCACAGGGACCGACAGTAAATGAGAAAGAAGAAACCTTTGATTTGGAACTGGGAAGAAATCTCTCAAATCACTAAGGCACAGGCTAAGGAACGGTGTAGTTTTGAGAGGAGGACTGTAATTCAAGTACTTGAGATAAATATGACTCCTTTAGCAAGGTTATAAAGTAATTTAGTAGAAACACAGTGCTACATCTATATTGTAAGGCAGTTCTTAGAAGCCACTGGACAGCCAAGCCTTCAAGGGTTTGTTGCATGCTGCACCAACCAAATGCACAAAGAAATGAAGTAAATGATTGTGGAGAAGGACAGAACTAGATGCTTTTAAACTCTGAAATCAGTTCCAGTCGCCACTTCTGTCCTTCTCCTCTTTTAGACAAAACTTTGGCTGTTGAGAATCCCAAGAGTGACTCCCCCTGATCGAGATGAAACTCTGGTGTTTGGTGTGTGTCCTCTATCCTGGTGGGGTACATCCATGTCAGTCCTTGGTAGCGGGGCTGACTTCTGTCCAGCAACTCAACCAACAGTGGTAGTAACTACCAGTAACGGTGAACAAAGGGTTTCTCTATTCCCAGTACAGAAGTGAAATATAAACGGGTGAACCGAGCGAGACTGATGCTGTGTTCCTTCTCAGCTGGAGGCACAGATCAGGTCGGGCAGCTGTTGCAGCATCGGATGCACAGGCACGTTTCCCCTGCAGAAATATGCCACACAAGCTTGGAACAAAACCATCACTGCCGCAGGTTGTGGTAGCTGTGACAAGTTGCAGCCCTTGGGACACAGGCTCTGTGTTTCCCATTTGGAACTTGTAAAAATTCCTCTTGCATCCTCTGCTGATGACTGCTGGTTCGTGCAGCTTCCTCCTTCCGTGTGGAAATAAATAGCAGTGAAATGGGAACCGCGGGGTTGGGGGCTGCTGCGGGTGCCTGGTGTGATGCTGTGGGTTCCCCTGGGGCTGGGTGGCCGGGAGGGAAGGGGCAGCTTGTCCCCAGCAGCCCTGTTCCCCTCCGAAAATGGCTCCTCAGGCCACACCATGGCCCCCTCCTCCAGCCTGCGGGAATGCTGGGGCTCGACAGGGCTGTGAAGTGTGGCAAGGGTGTCCTACAGCGGTCGTGTCTCGTGGGAAGTCACCGGACCGAGTCACCAATGGATTACAGGAAAATAACCTGTATTAAGAATAAAAGCCTGCTGACTTTTAGATCTGCTTTAATTGCGTTCACACTGAAAGACACTGGATGTCCCCCTGCTCTGGTCTGCAGCAGTCGGCTGGAGACAGGACAGGAGGTTACATTAAGGCTGTTCAGATCCCAAAATGTGCCCCTCTTCCCATTGAAACCTTCAGTGTGTCCCCCAAGAATACCACAAGGCGCCTGCCATGACAGGCAGAACAGAAAGGTTTTTATCAGAAAAGGGTAACAGGAAAACTACTAAAAAAAAAGGACAAGTGGAAGGAGGTGGGAGGACATGGAGTTTGGAGGAAAAAACCAGTATGGAAGGTCTGCTATACCCTTCCAAATGAGACTTCAACCAAAGTAATTTGGGAACAGCCCTAATCCTGACCCTCTGTTTGATGAGCATAGATTTTACTGCTGTGTTCTGTAGCACTCACCATCTCCAGATACACTCCTGTAGCTGTCTGCTTAACAGGTCCACTCCCAGGCCCTTCAGCCACGCATCCTCCTACCTACTGCTCTCCCTCAACCGATTTCCCTTTGAACCTTCTTTGCCCCCTTAACCCGGTGAAAACAGGTTGTAACAAGTGCACGTCTCCCATGAGAAGGCTGAAGTTCTTGGAGAAGTCATAGCAGAGCTGTCTCCCTGCTGCTTTTATATACTGTGGCACAGAAGTCCATGCAAGAATTAGAGCCCTGATAGCGCTCAGAAATAGGCATAAAAAAGTCCTTTCTCAGTATAGCTTCGTCTGCTGACTGCAGCGTTTCATTTCCATCGCAACTCACCTGCCTAGAAAACATTCTCTGCAAAGGCTGGAAGTGAAGATACACATCCCTGCAAAGGCTGGAAGTGAAGACTTATGCATAAGAACATAAAATCACAGTGATTCTGAAATCAGGAGTGTAAACCACCTGTTGTCTGCATGGCTTATTTCACTGCACATTTAAAACTACTCTAAAGTTCCTTTGGTCTCCCCCCCACCCCCAAAGGATCCCTCTTGAGCTGCCCTGAGCAGGGGGCTGGCTGGTGCCCTACACTGGTGAGCTCACAGGGTCACCCAGGGACCTCCTGTGCTTCGAGTCCCTTCTGGGAGGGACAAGGAAAGAGGAGCCCTGTGCTGTCCCGCAGTCCCAACTGGGACTGTCCCACCCAGGGCCCTCTGGCGTCCCTGACTCTTTGCACTCTCACTTATTAACAACCCCTGTGATGCGTATTAGCACCTCTTTATCTAGTTCTTCCTCAGCCTGTTTCACACTGGCAGGTGATAACCCAAATGCCCCATTCTCATTCATCTCTGAGTTTGCCTCCCTGTGAACCAAGATGACAAATTTCTCCTGATAGTCCTGCCTAGGGGAAGATCTCCATCGCTGGTTCGATTACAGAGGCCTTTGAAACCCTCCGGCTGGGCTGATCTAGAGTTCAAGCAGGGTCAGAAGATGTCTTTGGGACATCAGGTTTGTCGAGGTGAACAACCGAACCTGTCCCAAGGCGGAGAACGCTCCAGTTCTGCTCACGCATGTTCTGCGCTCCCCCGAAACCTCCCTCAGCAACCCCGTGCTGCTCCTTACCCACCCAGAGGGGCAAAACAAGAACAGAAAACACCAGGAAAGCTCTGTAGTAGCCACCTGCAGAGCCAGGGCTGCCCATAGGTAGACTTTGGAGAACCAGGCACTGCCGATCTCTGAAGTCCCATGGCAGGATCTGGCAAAGCTGACACCCAGAGGAGGGTTCTGAAGGGCAAGGAGGTGGGAAATGGGGACTAAGCCTTCCGAGGTACTTGTCAACACAGCCAGGAAGATACTTGCTGGAAGATTCAAAAGCACGGAGCCGTGGAGGTCCCATAAGGGTGCTCCGACGCAGGGGCAGTGCAGCAGGTACCACACGCACAAGCACTATAAACACAGGAAAGCAGAGTCAGAAGAGCAAAAGCCCCTCTGAAAAAACCCCTGGGATCAACAAGGCAAAGTTATAGTTTGATTTCTGACGGAACAGCTCTGTACATTTAGCAATAAGTTTACTAAGGAGGATCCAGAAATAAAATACACACCTGTAGTAACTGCATGGGGTGCAACGGGAAGATGACCAAATATTTGTGCATAATTCTAGTTCACGCATCCAATGGATGATATGGAGCAATTGCTTCTCTTTATGCTGCTATTAAGGTTGCTGTCCTGCACAGGCAGAGTGGAGCAGCCAAACCAGTCCCCTCATCCTAGCCACGGGTAAGTGGCAGGCTTCTACAAACACACTTTTATATTTTGGTGTGCCTGCTACAGCCTCACGGGGTGCCAGCACTCCCCATTTCAGCTGCTTCCTCTGACGGTGATTTTGAGCTGTTAATTCACCTGATGATGATCATTCCTGCGTGGAGCCATGGTGAAATGCCTTCACCAGTCACTGCTTTATTTACTGCGGGGGCATTTTGCTAGAGGCATTCCATGGGCAGAAAGTCTTTCTTTTCTCTTGAGATTAGAAATGATGTGAAATACGTATGAGCTAGCATCTCTCAAGGTTTAAATCCATTTGCCTTGACTTTCTAGAGGTTTACTTCAGGGTTGGAGAAGAATGCTTCCAGGTGAGCCTGATGGGGTTCAGCTCGTTCTGACAGATGCAGTTCATTTGGGGGCAGGAGGGAGAATGCTGGAGGGAGGATAAAAGGCTTTGCAAGCCACACTGGAGTCCTTTCTGCCAGGGAAACTTTCCAGTCTCCTGTCTTGATAACTGCCTGGTTTTTTCTCCATCTTATTATGCCATCACCCATTCCTCTTAATTGTTTTCTTCCTTTGGAATTTTCCCCATCTGCGGATTTGCGGCCCTGCAGCAGCCCTTTAGTTATCCCTGGCAAAGACAGCAAAACCCTCCTGGGGGGAACTCCTTCGGTCAGGACTCGCCGCTTGCCTCCACGCCTGGCCTGGTGCTCCATTGACTGGGACCAGCTCTGCCTCCTGCGGCCGCTGGGCTCTGGGGGCTTTGGGTCTGTCTACAAAGCCACCTACTGTGGTGCGACTGTGGCTGTGAAGCAGGTGAAGAAGAGCAGTAAAAACCGGCTGGCATCATGGCAGAGCTTCTGGGCTGAGCTCAACGTAGCCCGGCTACAGCACGATAATGTGGTACGGGTGGTGGCCGCCAGCACATGTGCCCCGGCCAGCCAGAACAGCCTGGGCACCATCATTATGGAGTACGTGGGCAACATCACCCTGCACCACGTAATTTATGGCACCGGCGATGCGTGGGGACACGGTGAGGATGACGAAAGAGGATGCGGAAGGAAAGCCCTGAGCATGGAGGAGACCGCGTGCTATTCTTGTGACATCGTGACCGGCTTGGCCTTTCTTCACTCACAGGGCATTGTGCACTTGGACCTGAAGCCCGCCAACGTCTTCATCACCGAGCAGGGCGTGTGCAAGATTGGAGACTTTGGCTGCTCCCAGAAACTGGAGGAGGGCTTGTCCCAGAGTCCCCATGTTTGCCAGCAAGGGGGCACGTACACGCACCGTGCCCCCGAGCTCCTCAAAGGGGAGCGCGTCACCGCCAAAGCGGACATCTACTCCTTCGCGATCACCCTCTGGCAAATGGTCACGCGGGAGCAGCCCTACCTGGGCGAGCGGCAGTACGTGCTCTACGCCGTGGTGGCCTATAACTTACGCCCGTCGCTGCCTGCTGCCGTCTTCCACCAGTCACCAGTGGGCAGGAGGCTCCAGAGCATCATCAGCCGCTGCTGGAAGGCCGAGGCAGAGGAGCGCCCGAGCGCAGCCCAGCTGCTTCCCGGCCTCACGGCCCTCAAGGGAAGCCTCTAGCCCAAACCCGGGACTCGCGCTGGTTCTTTTAATATCGGCTTTTCTTTCCTTCCACCTTTCCTCCAAACAGAATGAGTTTAGCCCCTGCGTGATCTAAAGGCTTTGGGATGGTTTTTATACTTAAAAAAAAAAAAAGAAAAAAAGAAACTGTTTTGATGTAAGAAGATTATGAATAAAGTGATTCAACAAAAAATGTGGGTTTTTTTCATGGGAGGGGATAGAGGTGAGAATCAAGATGTTGGCAAATTCTTTTTGTGGGTGATCTGTTGTGCTGCTGCCTTGCTCAGGGGAAACCAGGGGATGTGCTGTGTAGAAAAACAGTTGTTTTCAAATAAGTGAAATACAGAAAAGGGCTGCTTTTGGAAGGTTCTTTGTACATAATACCTTTTGGTATTTCCAAACTGTCAGATATGAGTAGCTCTTTACACCAGTGAGGTTTGTGCAGTTGGGCTTTTCCTCTTCATTTACCAAGGAATGAGTACGCATCACAAACCAATGAGTGCAGAAAAATAAATACAGAGTGTCAGTGGGGTTTTTGCTTGTTCTTAGATGTGCTTAGCTTCAGCAAGTCTGCCGGTTCTGAAATGGAAAATGTGAACCACCCATATACTCCTTGAAATAAGGCACCTTTTTGTCAGTCTAAGGCTAGGAAGGGTAAGAGGATACATAACTTGTGCTTTTATAAGATCTTCATGCTACCAGGTGTGTTATTTGCAACTTGGTAGTCGGTGTATCGTGAACTTTAGTATATCTGAAGTAGTACAGGAGCATCATGTGTGGGATGGAAAGTTTCTAGGTTTTGGAGGTACAGGGGGAGTTTAAAAAAAAAATAATGGATACAAAACCTCATAAATCGGGATGGGGGAAGGGGGAATTACGTGTCCTTGGTAATGCACAGGTCAGTATTAGACAAGATACTGGCAGTTCTGAAAAGGCAGGTTGCTGAAAGCAGTGATAGTGACTCAGCTGTGCTCACAGCGCGCACTCTTGAACCATCCTCTGCGCTGCTGTGTCTTATCTGCTGGCTTTCCTGATCTGGTTGTAACGTGTCTGGGGAAGGAAGTGCTGTGGGCAATGCTGAGGACAAAGAGCTCTGATTTATCACAACTGATAATCGTGGATCTGCCGAGATCTCTGCCCTTATCTGGCGCTGCAAAGATCCAACTGCTGGCGCCGATACTGCCATTCTGCTCCAAGGCTCCGCTGCTTTTTAAGACGGGAGAAAGAGCGATGTTTCAGTCAAATTGTTTTTCTCCTTTCCCCTTCCTTCCCTCTTTGCTTCCATTCTGGAAAAAAATCCCGAAGGAATTGAGCCGGTTTCCTGATTTCTGACACACATCTGTTCTTAGCCCCGTGAAATCCTGGAAATGAGCAACTATGTGAATTTGAGATGATTCTGTAGGTCTTTATGGTATTTGGGTTGGTCATTGAAATTAATGGTCTATAAGGCATATCTACGCTTAACCATTTCTTGCTCTTCTGTCCCCCTTAAGTGGAGCTGTAAAATGCTGGCTGGAATCAAAAAACCAAAGGTAAATTCTGGAAAAGATTTCCTGTGTTTTCTCTGTCAGAATAATTATGCTATAGAACCAGAACTTACGGGGGTTTTTTTGTGTTGCATAACTTATTTTAATAAACAAAAAATATCTTATGAAAGTTATCACAGTAAGCCAGTTACCTTTTAAAATGATTAGCCGAGGGCATGTAAGATAAAATTTCAGATAAAGCCATTGGCATGCCTCCCCTTGGCGCCAAGCCTCATGTAAAAATGGTTCTCCAATCTTCAAAAGAATATAATAAAAAATGGAATTAAAGTTTTTTAGTAGTTCCTAGATTGTGTTGTATTTATTTTGCCAATCTAGGTAGCTTGTTGCTTAAACTGCTAGAAACTTGCTATTTTGGGCTTAATGATACTTTAGCGTCAGTAAGTGCTACTTAAGTCTCTGTGAAAAATCAAGCACCCTTCAAATTCTCTGTTACACTTGACAGAAGAATACTGGATGGCCAGGACCTGCTCTTGAAGCGTAATCAGCTCTGCAGATGTCCCTCTCAATTTTACTTGATTCTCTTTTGAGAGGGAGCGAGAACTCTGCACAGCGCCCAAGATGCAGGCACGTCATAATCCACCGTCGTAATGACGTTCTCTATTTTTTTAGTAACTTCTAAGATTTGATTTGCTGCTTTTTGACTGCTCATGAGCTTTGAGGTAATACTACTCTAGAAATGCCTCAGGCCTGATAGCTTAGAATCCACCGTTCTACGTGATGAGGATCATTTTGCTTGTTTGCCTCGCTTTACATCAATCTACCTCGCATTTCCTTCTGCCGGTTTGTAGCTGACTCTGGCGCTCAATGTCCTAAGTAAAGCCACCACCAGCAGATTCGTTTCTTATGGCTCATTTCTTGCACTTAATTTATGGACACGCTGAGCAGCGCAGGACCCTGGGGAACACCCGTGGGCGCTTTCTCTAGTCAAGAGAACTGACGCTTTACTTTTACCCTCTGCTCCTGTCTCTGGACTTACCCAGCCTGGGATTTTCTCTCCTAAACGTGGCTGCTTAGTGCCTTCAAACAGTTTGCAGGGAGGGGTTTTTCAAATACCTTTGGAAATCCAAAGGGACCGTATCGACCAGCTCCTTAGCTGAGGTGCTGGGCTCAAAGGGTTGTGATCGGTGGCATGAAGTCCAACAGGAGACCGCTCACTAGTGGTGTACCCCAGAGATCAATACTGGGCCCAGTACAGGTTAACGTCTCCGTTAATGGCCTGGGTGATGGGGCAGAGTGCATGCTCAGCAGGTTTGCAGGTGATACAGAATTGGATGGAGTGGTCGATCCCTCGGATGGTTGTGCTGGTATTCAGAAGGGCCTTACCAAGCTGGAGATGGGGATCAATGCAGGGAACTGCAAAGTCCGGCACCTGGTGGAGGATAACCCCACGCACCAGTACAGGCTGGGGGCTGACCGGCTGGAAAGCAGCTTCGCAGGAAAGGACCTGGAGCTCCTGGCAGCAAGCTGAACACGAGCCAGCAATGCGCCCTTGCGGCAAAGGCGGCCAACAGCACCCAGGGGTGCGCTGCAAAGGGTGCTGCCAGCTCTTCCACAGCATTGCCGGAAGAGATGAATCCCTTCTGCTCACTCAGCCCTGGTGAGACACATCTGGGGAGCTGTGGCCAGCTCAGACCTCTGCCGGAACAAGAAAGTCATGGATGTACCGGACCAGGAGTGAAGCCAAGGGCCATTAAGCTGATTAGGGGACTGGAACCTCTGCACGTGAGGAGAGGCTAAGAAATGGGACTGTTCAGCCTGGAGAAGGCTCAGAGAGATCTTACCAGTTTGTTTAAATACTGATGGGAGGCAGTAAAGATGGAACCAGTCTCTTCTCAGTAGTGCCCAGTGACAGGGCAAGATGCGATGGACACAAACTGAAGGACAGGAAACTGCATTTAAATGCAAAAGAAAATGTTTTCACTGTGAGGATGGTCCAACACTGGAAGAGGTTGCCCAGAGAGGCTGGGGAGTCTTTGTGCTTGGAGATATTGAGAACCCGACTGGACACAGTACTGAGCAAGCTGTTCCACTGCTCTGAACAAGGGCTTGGACTAGACAATTTCCGGCGGTCCCCTCCAACCACAAAGGTTCTGCAATTATAGTAACCTTTATAGATGCTTGAATTTCAGACAGCCCCTGAGTGCTCCTACAAAAAGATTTCTAGCATGAGCCTGTTTTGTGTTTCCTCCAGGGACAACACACATGCAAGGAACATACTTTGATTCTTTGCAATGGCTTTGTTGTCTTGGGGAGGATCAGGTTTCAATGATTAGGGTTTTTTTTTCATTTGTTTTAAACCTGACATCAAGTAGATCTACCAGAGAGGCTTGACATATTTCTTGATATTCTGAAAACTATAAATTATGGGGTTTATGTTAGTTCCTTGAAGGTTTTTTTTCCATCTATTTTTATATTTAATCCACCAGAGTTTTATCCTTTCTGTTTTCTTCATGTGGACACAGCTTCAGATTTTTGAAAGACACCTTCTTGCTTGTAAAGCTGGTATAGAAGCTAATGAGCGTCACTGCCCATTGCTCTTCAACTGTGCCACGCTCTCATACCCCCACGTAAAATGTTAGCAGAAGACACATGATGCTAGCAGAGCCGTTGCAGATGATTGTGTGACAGCTCTTATGCAATTCTGTTCATCCAAATTTTTCCCTAGTTCCTTCCAGCAGCTGGTTTTGATCTTGAACTCTCCTTCCCCACACGTACGTATGCGGCACAGTTCTATAGCAAGACGTCGTTATAAGTCTGGATAAACCTTAAGGGCTACTCGTACCTAGTTTATTTATTCTCTTCATTCCTGGAGCTGATCACCAGCAGCTTGATCAGCCTAAACAGAAGGTTTATTGAAGGCCCAGAGAAAGCGCCACGACCAGGTGACTGTTGTTTCTCAACACCTTGGTGTGCTCTCCGAGCACGAAACACTTGAGCAGCCAGGGCTGAGGATCCTTCCCGCGGCTGCCCCAACCATCCAGCCAACCCGCTAGAACCCGGGGTGTCGCTTTTTGTTTCTGTGGACGAAACGCCTTGGCAGGGCAGATATCAAAGCGTCACGAGTTTGCAAGGCTGAACTAGCCCTCACGTCCTGCTCGGCTCTTAGGGTCTAGCACTAAATTTGGAAGTAGGGGATCCAGTATTGCACAGATGCAGATGCTGCAGCGTCAGGGTAAGGCTGGGCACAGTGGTGCTGTGACGTGTCTTTGGGTTGTGCCCGCCAGCCCTCTGCCAGCCAGGTGTGCTCTGCTCAGGGCACGAGCTATCTGATGCCAAGAACAGGCTGGACCTCCTCAAACAGAGCGACCACGCGCCTTGACCGTGCTCTTCGGAAGGAACAAAGCCCCATTTGTGCCAACTGGTGAATGGCAGATCTCTCATGTCTTACCATCAACCAAGTTCCGCAGCTTGATAGAATTGTTTCCCTTGGAAACTAAACTATTCAAACCCGGG